ATTGGGGTATGTCTACACTACCCCGCTAGTTCGAACTAGCGGGGGTAATGTAGTCATCCGCAGTTGCAAATGAAGCCCAGGATTTGAATTTCCTGGGCTTCATTTGCATGAAGCCGGCCGGCACCATTTTTAAATGCCGTCTAGTTCGGACCCCGTGCCACGCGGCTACACGCGGCATGGACTAGCTAGTTCTAATCCAAACTAGCTGTACGCCTCATGGAATGAGGAATTTTAAAATTTTGAAAGAGACTGTAGTTAAGGCCTGAAATACAATAGTGTTTTACAAAAGGCAGATTATGTCAGACCAATTTGAGCTATTTCTTTGAGAAGGTAACTTGAGTTTTTAGATGAAGGCAATGGAATGGAGGGATGGTAGGAGTTACTATAGAGAATTTCTGGGTGTCTGGCTGATGAGTCTTGCCCACATGCTCAGGGTTTAGCTGATCGCCATATTTGGGGTCGGGAAGGAATTTTCCTCCAGAGTAGATTGGCAGAGGCCCTGGAGTTTTTTTGCCTTCCTCTGTAACATGGGATACAGATCACAGCTAGAGGATTCTCTGCATCTTGGAGTCTTCAAAGTATTTGAAGGCTTCAATATCTGAGATAGAGGTGAGAGGATTATTCTAGGAGAGGTGGAGATTTTGTGGCCTGCACTGTGCAGGGGGTCAGACTAGATGATCATAATGGTCCCTTCTGACCTTAAAGTCTATAAGTCTATGAGTCTATGATGGGATGATCCTGATGTTGATAAGGTTGGGGCATAATTTAGACTCTGGAACAAATTATCAATTGGGCTGATTGTCTCTACTGAGTCTCAGAGGGGTAGCTGTGTTAGTCTGTAACTAAAAAAACAACAAATGGTCTTGCAGCACCTTAGAGACTAACAAAAAATTTAGATGGTATCATGAGCTTTCATGGGCACAACCCACTTCTTCAGAGGTACAAATAAACAGAAAAAAAGGGGAGATAGGGAAGAAAAGAGAAGAAAAAGAAAAAAAATCTTGCCAATTAATGTGTCTGTGCTAAATGAGGCTAATATAATGGGCTGTAAATGACTGATGCAGAGGGGCCATGTATATTGGCCAAACTGGACGGTCTCTATGATAAAGGATTAATGGACACAAATTAGATATTTGAAATGTTAACACACGGTAACTTGTTGGGGAACATTTTATCTTGTCTAGGCACTCTCTAATGGATTTAAAAGTGACTATACTCTGACAAAGCAATTCTAGAAAACAACTGGAGAAACTGTGGAATTTGCCTTCATTTGCAAATGTAACACATTTAATCAAGGTTTGAACAAAGATTTGAACTGGAAAAGACTGGAAAAGGCCTAATATAGTGCCCATCTAGAAAAAGGGAAATAAAAACAACCCAGGAAACTACAGACCAGTCAGTTTAACTTCTGTGCCAGGAAAGATAATGGAACAAATAATTAAGAAATTAATCTGCAAGCACCTTGAAGATAATAAGCTGATAGGTAACAGCCAACATGCATTTATAAAGAACAAATTATGTCAAACCAATCTGATAGTATAATGAGTCTTGTGGATAAGGGAGAAGCGGTGGACGTGGTATATCTAGACTTTAGTAAGACATGATCTTCTTATCAATAAACTAGGCAAATACAACTTAGATAGGGCTACTGTAAGGGTGTATAACTGGCTGGATAATCATTCTCAGAGAGTAGTTATTAAGAGTTCACAATCATGCTGGAAGGGCATAACAAGTGGGGTTCTGCAGAGGTGTGTTTTGGGACCAGTTCTGTTCAATATCTTCATCAACAATTTAGATATTGGCATAGAGAGTACACTTATTAAGTTTGCAGATGATACCAAGTTGGGAGAGATTGCAACTGCATTGGAGGATAGGGTCATAATTCAAAATGATCTGGACGAATTGGAGAAATGGTCCGAGGTAAACAGGATGAAGTTTAATAAGGACAAATGCAAAGTACTCCACTTACGAAGGAACAATCAGTTTCACACATACAGAATGGGAAGCGACTGTCTAGGAAGGAGTACTGCAGAAAGGGATCTAGAGGTTATAGTGGACCACAAGCTAAATATGAGTCAACAGTGTGATGCTGTTGCAAAAAAAGCAAACATGATTCTGTGATACATTAACAGGTGTGTTGTAAGTAAGACACGAGAAGTCATTCTTCCGCTCTACTCTGCGCTGATTATCCTCAAATGGAATATTGTGTCCCGTTCTGGACACCACATTTCAGTAAAGATGTGGAGAAATTGGAGAAGGTCCAGAGAAGGGCAATAAGAATGATTAAAAGTCTGAAGAACATGACATATGAAGGAAGACCGAAAGTTTGGAAAGTAGAAGACTGAGTTGGGATATGATAGTGGTTTTCAAGTGTCTAAAAGGGTGTCACAAGGAGAAGGGAGAAAAATTGTTCTCCTTGGCCTCTGAGGATAGGACAAGAAGTAATGGGCTTAAACTGCAGCAAGGGAGGTTTAGGTTGGACACTAGGAAAAACTTCCTTACTCTCGGGGGGTATGTCTACACTACCCCGCTAGTTCGAACTAGCGGGGTAATGTAGGCATATCGCACATGCAAATGAAGCCCGGGATTTGAATTTCCCGGGCTTTATTTGCATAAGCGGGGAGCCGCCATTTTTAAAAACCCGCTGGTTCGAACCCCGTGCAGCGCGGCTACACGGGGCTCGAACTAGGTAGTTCGGACTAAGCTTCCTACTACTACTCGTTCGTGTACCGGTAGTTCGGAGTAGGCAAATGAAGCACGGGAAATTCAAATCCCGGGCTTCATTTGCAAGTGCGGTATGCCTACATTACCCTCCTAGTTCGAACTAGGAGGGTAGTGTAGACATACCCTTTGTTATCCTAGTTAAATGTTTCATATTAGGAATATCTTGATGAAGTACTAACTCAAAAGCTGAAGCATTTGAAACCAAAGAGCAGGCTCCCCGCTTATGCAAAT